AAAAAAAAAACAAACAAAAAATTATCTAAAATTCAAATCCTTTGAACTATTCTTTGCTAATTAGTACTGTGAGGCATTTTTGTAATTTAAGAGAACTGTTTTAGAAATCTGTTAAATTGTTTTTTTAATAAAGGGTGATTTTTTAGCTATTATCTTTTTGGCAACACTGGTTTGAACAGCTGAAGCATGTTTCGTGTTTAGTATGACTGTCAAACATCTGCACTTTGGTCTATAATTTAACCAGGAATCGTCTTACAAACGAACAACGCTTGCAAATGATTGAATTTTAGAATCAAAATGCAAGCTCTGTTAAGAAAGTTCATTGCGCGCTTTTTATTGAAAAATTATATTCACCGACAAAGCTCATTTTTGACTTAATGGGTGTGTAAGCAAAATTGTCGATTTTGGATTGAAGATCAGCCAGAAGCATTGCAATAGCTACCAATGTATCCAGAAAAAGTCACAGTTTGGTGCAGTTTACGTGCTGGAGGCATCATTGGACCGTACTTCTTCAAAGTTGATGCGAATCGTAACGTAACTGTGAATGGTGAGCGCTGTATCGTGAGATGATATAAAACTTTTTTTCTATGCCAAAAATACAAGAGCTTGACTGGCATGGCATGTGGTTTCAACAAGATGGTGCCACATGCCATACAGCACGCGTAACAATGGACTTATTGAGAGGCGAGTTCGGTGAACATTTTATTTTACGATCGGTACCACTGAATTGGACGCCAAGATCGGACGATTTAACACCTTTAGACTATTTTTTTGTGGGGCTATATTAAATCTAATCTCTATACAGAGAAGCCCGCATCTAGTGACGCAGTGAAGCATTTTTTCTCGCGATACCAGCCGAAATATTGGAAAGAGTGTGCCAAAATTGGACTAAGCGGATGGATCATTTGAGGCGCCGTCGCGGTCAATATTTGCATGAAATAATCTTCAAACACTAAATTATATGGGCCGCACTATCGATTCAAATAAAGATTTCATTTTTCTGAATTTTATATTTTTTTTTTTGGAAAACTTTCCTGCAGTTTTTAAAAAATCACACTTCATATGCTGACAGATAGAGGTTAGGATATAACTCTAAACGTAACTTTAATAATTTAACTTAACTTTTTAAAGCGTAAGAAGCCTGTTGCACTGAGTTCGTTTTACAACAGTGCCGCTGATAACGTGAGGTGTTGAAAGCTCCTGAGCGCTTTAATTTAAGGAAGCCAAGTCAGTTATTCGATCGTACATCGATGAGACGTACAAGATATATGGCGACATTGACATAGTTAAACGAATCAAGAGACAGCAGCTACGCTGGCTAGGTCGTTCGGATAGATGAGAATACTACAGCTTTGAATGTTTTTGATGCAGTACCCGCGATTAGAAGGACCATATAGAAAAGGACCTACTACTTGGTGTTTCCAATTGGCACCAAACAGCGAAACGGTTTTTACGCCAGTAAAGAAGATGAAGAAGCTCCAAAATATCTTTATCTTTTAATCTTTTAAATATCAGCATCGTTTGAAACAATATTTTTTACCATAGTTTAGTATGTTGTTGATATGCTGTTACTTACATTGTAGTAAATCAGTTTAGACTTTCTTTTTTTGTCTGTTTTTAATATTATCAACTCTAAAAGACAGTCAGCACACACTTTGGCCAATTTTCATTGCTGGCTGAGGCCGGCCCTGGACAAAATCATATCGACATATGCCTTGCTCCTTTATGTTCGTAACAAAAACAAAAATTGAACTTTTTATTTAATATTGCGACTGGTTCCATTCAGATTATAACACCAATAACAATAACAACAAAAAGTGGATTGTAAGTGTTTGAATCGTTTTCAACAACAATAAAAATATCAACAACATATCGCACGACCAACAACTTTGCTTTGGCTATGAATGAACACAACAAATAAACAACAAATAGCCAGCAGAATTGGTTGCAGAAACAGCGACAACCATAACAGCATTTGCAAAGACATGAAAACGAAGTTGGAAAAAATACACAAACCGTGTTCCAGAGATTAATAAATTGATGGCATCCATTGCACATAACGTGTAACTAATGGTAGTAATCAATTTTACTTTACATCTCAATCTGGCTTAAAAATACCAGGCAGGCAGGCAGGCAGGCAACTATAAGGTAATACAGCAGTTGACGGAATATGTTACAGACTATAAGAACAACAACAAGCAATAAACTATATATAAATATGGAAATGAAACACCGTAAGGTGAGATTGGTCAAGATGCTTCCAAAATCGTCCTTTCGTAACCTGCATAAAAGATACGATGCCTAAATTATTTTACAGCCGCTGTACATAGTCGAGGCAAGTGGGAATTTGTGTGAGTTGCATCTTAAAGAATTTCTTATATAAAAATTGATTTTTTTCTTAAAAAAATCGTTCGATTTCAGAGTACACCAGACTATGTAAAAACTCGAAATTAGAATTGATAGGTATAACCGCTTATATTATGCATATATAGATATGTACATATGTATATTACTATTTCTGCACAAGAATAAAATTCCCAAGCGGACAGGTAAGGATATATTAAATTTATCCCACATACATACATACAAACGTATATATGGTTATATCTACACATTTGCGAATATTTAACCTTCACTTTTATGTACGAGTCAAGGTTTTGAGGTTGACGAATGCCCTTGCGTTGTAATATTTTGGTTTCGCCACAAAGGATAACAGTTTCAAATTCTTCCAAAGGATATTCTGCTAAATTCGTTTCAGTCTATTTTACTGAATTTGGAGCGAATCCAAGCCGTTTTAACAATTGGCAATTTTCATGATTACTGTGAACGCCTATTGTGTTTACTGAAAGAGTAACAGTCCATGGCTTTGGATGTGAGTACATAACCTTTGACCAGTCACCAGTTGTCACCAGTTTTGCAATTTCTGCTATCATGCTGTTTTCACTTTTACTGAAGAATGTACGTTCATACACACTTATATATGTATGTAGGTATGCATGTTATGTATGCATATACGTGTATTCACACCTTACCAACGCCTTTAAAAATAAAGAAACACTCTAATTGTAGACATAAATCTATTTATGAGAAAAATTTTGGTGTAATAATTTAGGTCGATTTACTACTCTCAATATAACTTTTATCTAATTTATGTACAACTTCTGTTCGTGTATGTAAATCAGTATAATTAAAATGAAGAAAAATACTAATTAAATACTAGTATTTCAAGGGTGAAATCATACGAAAGGCGAACTCGTTACCAACCGTCTAATAGTTCACCTGTACCAGAAATAAGCTAATTTCTAGCACACCACAGATTTGTTATATTTCTCTGTTGTGCTTTTAGATTTAATTAAATATTGTCATTAAATAAATATTACAGTATAGTTCGCAGTTATTATATGATTATAGATTTTGGGTCAAGAAACCGTCGAAAAATAGCATCTAAGAGTGTGGCATTTACTATTTATTATTTGTATTTACAAATAATCATTTTCCTCAAAAATCATCGAAATCGGAGGACTTTATCATATAGGACGATTTACCCAGATATGAGGTTTTGGGCCAAAAATCCGTCAAAAGAACATTTAAGAGCGTAAAATTTGGTGTTATGTGCACGTATAGTATATGAAAATAAATATTATATTTCTGCCGAGAGTCATCGCAATCGAAAAGCGCCTCCAAGCAATGTTTCAGATATGAGAATTGATATTATATTTAAACTTAAAATGAACTACCGCAAAAATTCTAGTTAAATTCTAGTATGTTGGCGATGAGATCATACCAGTTCGTTATTTGTAAAGAAGTCCGTATTTGATGAAACATAATTTTTTTATTGAATGTTTTTTTTTTAATTTTTGGTGGAAAAGTAATTTTTAATTTTTGGTGAAACAGAAATTACTACCTCTACGTAATTCGCATGATGTTAAAGTGCGCAGATTTCGTTTCTCTATGTATAATAACGATAGTCTGCTGGTTAAAAGTCTTCACTGTGGAGCGTGAGGGTCTGGATTCGATTCTCGCAGCCGGCTTACTGAATTTTATTTGGCTTAGTTCTTTTTTTTTTTTGAAGTAGAAATTCAAAATGCCAAAATGAACTAGTTTTAAACTAGTATGAAGCTGATGCATAAGGACAATTGTCAGCTCGTAGGACATCGCCTTGTTAAAAATACCAGTTTCTTACATGGAAAATGGATGAAGATGAACTAGTTGGTGTAAAAATGTAAACTTGTTGATTTCTAGTTGACAACTAGTATTTTCCCCTGCAGAGGTTATACTACTCTTCAGCAATTTTTTTTGGCAACAAAAGCATTTTATAATAAATTGATTTGCATATGTGCATATGCTAAGGTAATATGAGTATTAAGAATCTAGTGTCTCCATCACAAATTATGCGTTGACAAAGGTGGAAAATATTCCCTATTTGTCGGAGAACAGAGCCAAATCTGTAAAGCCAAAAACATTCCAAAAATGTGCACGCTATTAGTTCTTTTTATCCTCTATAAGAATTCAATGCGGTTGCGCTGCCAAATAATCTCCGACGTTACAAACGCATAAATGAAAATGACGGCCAGATGGCGTGTGGCAAACAACAGGGTTCCTATGACTGGTTGTAAATTTGTTTGAATTCGCAATTTATTATTTAGAATAATTTTAATCCTCTAAATTTCTTAATACTTTCCAATTAAATCTCGTAACTGCCGTATATGAAATAATGCAAAGACTTGAAAGAATTGTAAACAAACCTAACATCTCCATCTACCCTCTCTATTTACCCAATACATGAACCATGTGCTACAACTAATTTACACCAAATCTAATAAGACCAATTAACTAACTAACGGATAATATGAGATCACTGCATGCACACCCCATTTCAAAAGTCTACATACATACACAACGCTCTACTCAACTACAGTGTACTCAAAACAACATTTTACTTGAATGAGAGTAAGAAAAATTCCACTTAATACTTTCATGGAATTTTTTGAGGCACTTTCCTTGACACTTACCAAATTGACTGCGCATCCAGGGATACAATGGTGATGGCATCCCTGATGACTGCGAATTTGGATTTTGTGATGGGGGTGTGTGTTGACCCGGATGACCTTGATGCATTTGTGGTGGACCCTGCGCCGGATGTATCATACCTTGTGGTGGTCCGCCAACGGTTGGAACTCCGGTTTGTTGTTGACCATACATGCTCATCTGATGATGACCCTGGTGGACCTTTGAAAATGAGTTCATTGAAAATCATTAATATCAAATCATTTGAAAAAAAGATGAATTTACGTTTAAAATAAAAATCAGAGCTAGTCACATACTAATATTTAATAAAATAACAATGAAAGACGAAAAGCTAAAAATTCGTTGGGTTACTTGAAATAAAACAAAATTTGTAATTATTTACTACAAATAGACAATCAAGAAACACACGTTGCCGTCGTCCTTACCTCATTAACATCCGGAACTCCGACATCATTGTAACCCAACTGCGTCATTGTAAGGCATATAAAGTATATTATATTAAGTTTTGCTTAATATTTTAACGCGAATAAGTGCATTTATAAACATTTTATTAAAGATCTAAATGCTTTCCCTCACATTGTACTCTAGTTCATATGCACCTTTTAGTATTCTTAATAGTTGCTTAAAATATTTCAAATAATCGGGAATAACGAGATGAATCGACTTAGTCATAGTCTGTTCGCCCGTCCGTGGATACGGCAACTTAAGTACGGTTGGAGATATTTTGATGAAGCTTGATTAACACTTTTCTCCTTTTGGTTTACGCACCTCAAATCGCGATAATTGAGTAAATAAATTCGCAATTACAGTCATTCTTGTTGGGGTTAATTGAATTGAATAGAAAAAATCCCCGTATTTGGTTCAAAATCTCTACCCCGGAGCCACATGCTTCTAGGTCCTATGATTTAGTATGAAAAAAATTGCAATTTATACAAAACGGTTATCAACTACGTTTTTTTTTTAATGAACTTTTTACATTCCAGCTCCCACCTGATTCATGTTCCATGTTCGAATTTTTGAGACATAAGTAAATTGAACACATCAAATATATGTAGTTATGCTACTCTAGACCGTTCTGTGGACTTGAACCGAGTATCTAATTTTCGTTTTCACCCAAATTTGATTTTTTTATTTCTAAAATTTTTATTCTAAGATTTTATGAGTATTCCTATATACATTCAGGTTTCAACTCATTTGTGAGTTTAAAGTTTCTCCAGAATAGTTTCTGGAAAAAAATGGGAAATCAAGCACCTTAATATACTCAAGTTAAGCCGGCTTTTAAGTGCTAAAACTAAGACCTTTGTTGCAAAAATTTATTAACGAAAGTGACTCAAATCGAAATTTTTCTTTAAGTTAAATTAAACTCTGCTGACCGAATCTTTTTTTTTTAAGATATGGTTGAATTCAAATATTAAAGCAAATATAGTAGCCAAAAAAAGTGTTTTTCATCCCTCTTCCTGCAGACAGCGCTGCTTAAAAAGCTTTTAAACAGCTCTAAGTTGTTTGAAGTTTGGCGCGAACTTCCTTTTTTCGAATGTAAAAATATTTTACTCAAAATATTTAATAATTCTTAATACTTTTTTGTATGCTAATGTTTATAAATACTGTATGTACATATGTATTGATTGATTTAAGGGAAAATATTTAGTCACCTGTGCTTGCGGATGTCCCATATGATGCGGCAGAGTCATTTGTGCGTTCATATGATGACCACCCATTTGATCGACTAACGGAGGTGAACCGCCCTCGTGCACCATGCCCAGTCCGCCTACTGCGGCCTGCAATTTACAGCTGGCATATACGACAGGCTGTTGTTGTTGGGCTGGATGTGTCACTTGTTGCGTTACTTGCGGATGCTGTTGATGCTGAGGCGCCGTTTGTGCTTGCTGTTGTGATACCTGTTGCGCCACTTGCTGCTGTGCCACTTGTTGTTGGGGTGGTTGTGGTTGCTGCAGCAGCGGACTACCATTGACTTGCGGCTGTTGTGGCATGCCCACCTGACTGGAGGGACTGTCGGGCCGAGAATAACCTTGGTGATCCATACTCTGTCCATTATAGTAGGGCATGCGGTCGTAGGGCGGGAAGCGTGGATAGGGCATATTGCCCTGATTATTTGGATGCTGACTGTAGTGATGCATTTGTTGCGCATCGAGATCGGTAACACCATTGCTCGGATAGTGACCATGGTGCATTTCGGGCCCCATATAGGAGTTCGAAAAGTATGATGCCATACTTTCACAATTATTTGTACTCATCGTCATATTGAAGGAATCTATTGTGTCTGTGGTATACGTGGTGGCGGCTTTAATGATAATTAAGGGGTTGCGGGTTGCCGAATTTAGTTGGGTTTGGTTGAGCTTGATTTAATAGCGGTTTCGCGTGTGCGCTCTGATGCTTTAAGTTGTTGTTGTTGTTGTTGTTGTTGCTGTTGTTGCTGTTGTCGTATAGAAAGAGTTGTGTAAAATTGAAGAGCTAAAGAATACAATTTTTGGGTTCGTGTTGTCTGTACAGATGCTTGAAGCTACTTGGTTTTCAGCTATACAACTCCTTAAGCTAATATAATAATCAACTAGCGCTCTACTATAGATGCTAAACCTGTTCAAGAGAAAGTGTAGGGAAGATTGTTAATTAAGTTTCAAAACCTTTCTCTCGAGGATACTTACTTATATTAAATCTGAACACTTAAGTACTTTATACAATTTTCCCTTAGCTTAAAGTGTTTGAGGTATAAAAATGATTTACGTCTCTGCTATTCAAATTAAATATTTTAGTTTGACTTTTGTTTTTTTAATTTTGGAGAATTTATAACTTTTCCGTTCGTATTAATAAACCAAGTTTCCAAAAATAATTTTCGATATTTCAGTTAAGGTATAGGAGCCCGTAATGCTGCCACATAAAATTTGTCTTAGCTGCTATAAACAATTTTGATGCGATTTGAAGTGAAACTCTGAAAATATAGTAAAAAAGAGTAAATTGGTCAGTAAATGGCGATAGGTTTTTTTATACATATTTTTCATAATTCTCATCCTAATTATAAATAGTAAAGGAACTAAATAACATTAAAATTCTCACAGTGCTGTTCGGTACACTTAATATGTGTATGAACATACATTTGTATATTAAATTTAAATTTTTAGATCAAATATGTTATATATATATATATATAGGAATCAGAATCCCAATGTAATCTCAGTTGAAACATTTGACATAGTTATCGTTAAAACAGTTAACAAAATGAATTTCATTTCGTTTTTACCCGAGACAAAGAGCTGCCGTTAATGTTAAATCGTTAACACTTAATTTTAAATCGTTAACAGATAATGTTAAATCGTTAACAGATAATGTTACACTTTATAAATGAAGTTTGCTGTTAAATCAGAGCAGGCAGCCATTTTAAAATTAACGTTAACGCTGAGTTTGTGCCGTTTCAGCATTAACATTTTCATTTCGTCTCGAAAAAATTATTTTTCATATTAACAAAACGAAATGGCGATATATATATATATATATATATATATCTGTAAATATTATTGTTTGGATAAACAATATGTATCTACATACATATGTTTGTATATCTTAAAAACAATTTCAGTAATACTCGTGCACATACACATGTTTTTGTGTACATTCCATTACAACATCTCGTACTATTCCTTATGACGTTCACTCCATTTGTTAAATAAATTCCAAAGCTGATTGAATTTTTGCCTATTGAAGCGAATTTTCAATGGAGAAAATTCTTAATTACAAAAACATACAACAACGTTTGGAATTCGTTTAAGGTAAGAACTTTTCAATTTCGTGCACTAAGCGAGATAAACACACAAATATATACACGAGCACACTATGTTGAACTTGCAAAGAAATTATGCAACTAATCCCTAAAGACAGTATTCCGGAATGACTCTTAATCGGATGCAGCTCGATTTAAATTATTCACAAGTAAATTCAAACGTCTTTTAAAGAAAACATTTCTAATTCCTTTATTAAGTCGCTAATCGATTTTTGAGGACTCTAAATGCCGCCGTCCACTCAGAGACACAGAATGGAGCATTTACATGACAGAGCATAAACACACTTGTTTATGTATATGTTTCAAAATGAAAAAATATGTACATACGTATATCTTTCTGAATAACTATTTTATGAGATTTATTTGTTGGAATAGTGAGCTTAGGGTCAAATCAAATCATTAAATTCAAAAATTAAAGTTAAATTTACACAACACAGAAAAAATAATAGATGTGAAATTTTTACCAAAATTTCAAAATTTCTTACTCAGACTTTATAGGGAATCGTGCCACTGATCATTATTAAAATTCGATGACTTTTTGCGATAAGCTTCAAGGTTAGCCAACATGGATATTTTTACGATAATAGAATTAAAATGTGACATCCGGAGTATACCAATAATAATACAAATACTTTTATTTTCGCCTTAACTGCTTTTAGACTCGAACAAAATATTCAATAAACTAAAAACATTCCATGGAACTTTTCATAATTTTCAGACTTTAGGCAAAGCGTGTTTAAGCCACCAATAGGTTTGGTAAAGGGTATGTATTATGTAAAAGGTATTAATATATGTACAACACAATGTACATTTGTATGTACATGCCTGTGAGTGTGCACAGGAAATACAGCGAATACTAAGCGAAAATATGTGTTCTTGGCAAATTCCAGACTTCGGACAGCTTTCAAAGGTTTTAAAGCTGTAAAGTAAAATAAAAGGTATCGCCTGTACGAATTCTATGAATTTAAAAGTGAGAAATATTTGCTAGAGGACTATTAAATTGTATTGCTCACATAATGTCAATATTGTATTATATGTACGTATGAATTTTAATAGTTATATAAATACAAATTTATGTTTATGCCTATGAATTTTGATTTTTCGGCAATTTGGCACTTTGAATTCACAGGCTTTAAGCTTTCCTTGTATTAATTTCTGTTCTTTTCTTAAAAGTAATGTTCCACATATTTAGCGTTAATCATAAGTATTGTAATCTATATATTTGCTTAAAAAGCAAATAGCTACTTTTACTTGAATATAATCTAGTCTGTATTTATGTAGTTATGCACGTATGCTCAGAGTATTGCACAGAGGCAGAGAAACATAACGATTTTCTAAGCTAAACCAAAGCAAGCAGAAATTCTATTGAAAATTTCTTACGTTTGCGCCGTTGTAAAAGTACCGCTAATATCCTTTTCAGCTACATTTTCAACAATTCATACAACTTTAACTGTAATATTGTATGGGCTCCATACCGACATGGTGTGCAACCAACTATGACAAAATTTCCTCCCTTTTGGAAATCGCCTGGTCCTTTGTCGTTGGGCCTGTCACACACCGTGGCGTTTTCTTCTTTTACGCCATTGTTTGTTTTGCCTTTTGTCATCAACGAAATAATTTCATATCCGGCGCGTCGCCGCCTACAACAAAAGCCAAACTGTTTTTCATTCTTCCCCACACTCTTATTTGCCGGTTCATACTGCGAATTCCTAATGTTGGTTGGTGGTATGCTGAGTGAGCTTAAACTGCCAAATGCAGGTTTCCGTTTCAATTATTCCAAGCTCTAGTCAGAGTGTGGTGTGCATTGATATGAAGTGGGTGTTGGTGAAGCTCACAACAAAAGATATGCAAAAGCAAAAGTAAATATGCGAAGAGAGGACATGTGACGGGAGACAAATGCAATTGTGAAAAAGGATGAGAATTGAGATCTTTAAAGAATCAAATGTATATGATTCCGTCTACCTGCCTATGTCGCATGCATATGATATTAGTGAATAATTGGAAAATATTTAAAAAAAAAAATTAGAATAAATAAAAAAAAAAATATTTATTTTATTCACCTGTACAATATACTACATAGATTATTTTAAATAATATACATATAGTTCTATCTACCAATTTCTCGACGGCTGTAAGCTTTTCATGAACCCACTCATGTTTTATATACTACAAAATCTACATAGGTTTGCAATATAGTAATAATGTATTTTATACCTACATACTTATGAACTTACATGCTCTTACAATTCGAATACAAAAAAATGACAATTATTCCTTCTTTACATATTTTTCGTGCAATTCCTTGAAAATGTGAAATGCTGGCCAAAAAGATAAATCAAACTACTTAATTTACTAATGGGGTAATTTTAAACAGCATACTTTTAGGCGCGTTGTATAACGATGCACGCGAAGTCTGTCGGCAATAACAAAAAGTTTGCTTGGTATTTAAGGTACACATGAGCCTGACCTATTGACGGATAGATGTCACCACCATCACCACTTAAGCGAGAAATATGAAACAAAACTAAATGCGAACCGGTAGGGGGATTTTGGCCGCTATTGCCCGTAGGAGAGATGATGGGAGAACGTATATTAATTAATAAACGTTTTTTGGCTCAACTCAAGGCAAGTTTACACATGGCAGTAGCAAGAATACAAAAACAAAAAGCCGATATATTTGGTTTATGTAATCGTAGTCTCGTAAAGGCAAAAACTAAAATTCTTCAATTTATTTTGTTTGTGTAAAATTTTGGAATGGAAGGAAGAACAAGCGATCATATAATTTTACAACTTCACCGTCTATAAAATCGCCTTGGTTCAACTCATGACACAAAAAAGAAACGTTTTATTTAAATTTGAGAGAAAAAAATTTTTGACATCACATCTTATTTTCATTTTTACTTCAAGCTATTGCCACTGTAAAAATACTTCATAATATACTTCATTTAACTTAATTAATTAATTTTATTTCAATAGATTTCAGAAAACAAAAATAGATTAAATCAAAAAATATTTTTGTCAGATAATGAATATTTTTGAAATAGAATGATGAGGGAAACTAACTTATTTTTTGTAGTTCAACTCTATACGAGATTCGCGCAATTAATCTTAAAGCTTCTCTTGGCTGTAAATTTCAAGGGAGCTCGCGGCTACGTACATACAAATGTATGTTCATATTACAGTTATCCTTTCATATCTAATATTAACTAAATTTGAAACAGCAACAAAGTTCTGTTTGTATGCTAACTAACTATAATTTTTAATCATTTTATTGAAACACTATGTTAATAGTATATAACATTTATAAAATTCTCTTACTCATAATGCATTATCTGTCTCACTTCATATTGTAAAAATCCAGTAGACTTTTGACTTTGACTTAAGAGTTGTTGTTTTTACTAATGTAGTTGACCTTAAAGACGGCGTCCTAAAATGAGGTTCCGGACAGGAGGTTTTTTACACATACATTTACAATATGTACATATGTAAGCAATCCAAGGGAAGTGCTCTTGGGAGGGGAAATGTACTCCATATCTTCCCCTCCTGGGTCCACCGCTGATTATAACTTTATACATATATACACTTACGCAGTTGTTACACCCCCATCCAAATGTTTTGTAAAATATAAAACAAAGCACTTAACGCACATTCATACAATAATTAAAGTATCAATGGTAAGCAGCCGAAACAAAACAAAACACTTATGTATGTATCTACATAAATATCTACATAATCATAACGGCGACATACATTCACTAAACGGAACACAATACCATAAATCAAAATGGCTGTTAGTTGATAGCTGAGAAAGAGAAGAACTGTTCATTGTACTTCAATCAACACTATTCACACTCCACACATACGAGCGTGTGCGTTGTACTCAATGAGAGGTAAGCGAGCTCTTCATTGACCACGACTTTAAAAAGGTACTCGTACAAATAAAATTAGACACATATGTATGTCGGTATCACTGTTCTAGCGCTTATTTCTTATTTGTTAATTATGTTCAGCTAATATGAAAGCCATTTTTAAGGTTTTCATAAATTTTTGGTCTCAAGTTACTTTCATTAACAATATTTATGTAAAATATGAATATGTATGTAAACATATATAATATGTACATATGTACATTAAATAATAAGCATATTAAAATT